AGCTGATCCCAAGTCAGCTCCTCTCGCTCGTCAGCTGTCCTGAGATGCCAGTAGTCGTCCCACCAGTCTCCGGCCGCACCCTCTATCTGAAACTCGGCACAAGCGACCATGTGCTGGTCGGGTATACCCATCATCCGGAAAATATGATCCATCTTGTGGATCCAGTCTCCTACGGCCAACGGGCCCTCCTCTCCAGTGAAGACCGGAGGGGTGTAAGTCCGGAACTGGGATGCGACTACTGCCTGATCCCGCTCTGCGGGTGGAGCTCTACGGGGCGGCATTCTGGATAGCCAAATAACAATTTGATTAGTATAGCCAATTAATAAATAGCTACACTACTTGACGAATTTAAATAATTTACCAAAAACACCTAGCTTGGCTAGAGTCCCGGTTTCTGCTTAACTCTACTGATTCTAGCTCGAATTCTGATATAGTCTAGAGTTGGACTTATCTAAACTTTCTAAAATTCTGTCTAGAGTTCTCTTTCTAGTCGGAGGATAGATGACCCCTAAGACCTCTTACTATATTCTCATGCACTTGTAGAAATTTAAAAACTTAGGTGACTTACCTCAGAGTCGGCGCGACATGAGCGTGGCGTGGTCATGCTTTTCTAAACTCTTTTTAAGTATACAGAACCACTAAGTGGTTCTGATACCAACTTTAACACCCCGCCTAATTATTCTAGAATTTATAAAATCAGAGTAAAATTTTTGCTTTTTATTTTCGAAAAACTCTTTAACTTTATTTTCGAAAATACTCATACTAACTCGCGGGATGCTACTAATTTAAACTCTTTCTCATGCAGACGTAAATAAATACATCCAACCTAATCAAATCCGTTATAATAAAGGTACCACGGAGATAAAGGCATTAAACATGCATAAGTTTGAATATCTCATAATACTTACTAAGTCTGAAATGTGCGGAAGCTGAAACATAATATGTCTACGCATAGTAATAACAATACATGTTCAATAAATGACATGTAAATGCGTTAAAAAAAGACTGTTAATGACCACGACCGCCACTGAAATCTCACGCGCCACGCGCCGCTCCGTCACCTGAAAAACGTAATGGGGGCGTGAGCAAAACCACTATGCTCCGCAAAGACCAGTACTTAATTAAACAGCATCGTTAATTTCAATATCATGACTTTAAGTATATAAGTACTAAACTGAACTGAAACTATTCTGATCTCGGCTTAAAGCCGCTAATTCATGTGCACACCCCAACCGGAACATTAAGGCCCCCTCAGCCTCCAGGTCGGGACCACAGGCGGAACATTAAGGCCCGCTCAGCCTCCAGCCTGGGCGATAAACTATTCTCATACATACCTCGGACATGGTATGGAAATTAAAGATGATGTATAACCAGTACATGACCCCCACCTGATAAGCTGCTACTGCTAGGCAAGTGTTGACTGACTGGTAGCTGTCGGAGGCGCGACTCTCCTTAAGCTACATAAATATTTGAGCAAAATGTACTAAGTACTAAGCTCAAACTGAAAACTTGATTCTTATTATTATCTGATTTTACTAGGTTCTCTCGCTCGATCATTTAATATGAATTTAGAGGATTTGAGCTATTTTGGAAAGATTTGTTGACTCTGAGCCATTCTAGAGTTCTTTGGTGTTTGAAGGTGAATCTTGGACTTTGAAGCTAGATCTTGGTACAGGCTAGGACATTTTGTGTTTATTTGTACAAGATCTTGAAAAGAATAAAGGTTTTATTTGATGTCTTTGAAGATGGAGATGGAGATCTTGAAATGATGATGGAGATGAATAGTGTAGAGGGGCTAGGGTTTCTTGTTGTTGTTGTGTTGGGAGACAAGGAGACAACTATTTATAGATGGTGTAGGAGACTAGGGTTTTGCTCTTGTTATTGGGCTTAGTATCGGGCCTAATAGATTGGACTCGATTATATATCGGTTTAGGCGTAGGATAATTAGTCGACTCGACTTAGAAATTTGAAATGCTCGGTCAAATAAAATATGACGGGCTTGAAATAATAATCTCGACTTAGACCGAAAAATAATATTGGCCTCAGAATTAAATAATTGGGCTTGAAATAAAAATACTACGAGGGTTTGATATTTAAAATATCGCTTGGGCTTAGAAAATTAATTCGACTACTCGAATTGAAATGGGCCGACTAATTAAAATAAATTCAACTCGAGCTTAAGAAAATAAATGTCGTTAAATGGACCCAATAAAATGTTGTGCTCGGTAATTTAATTAATTGGACGCTCTCTTTATGGCTTAGACTTGAAATTAAATAATTATGTAATTAATATTAATAATTCTCGGTATAATTATAAATATTACTAATTTTGATAAATAAAGTCGAGCTACTAATATAATTTTGGGCCGGGGCTTACACGTGCCGACCCGCTCGGCAATACCGACTTGTTAGTGCCAGGTCAAAAATTTGATCGAGAAAGT